GGTTTTTTTCCTCTTTGGGCCTTGTGCTTGAAATTTATTGGATGTCTTTGGGGACCATACCTGGCCAAGGTTTAACACGCCTTCCATTTCCTCGGGTGAAAACCTGGTTTGAGATTGACCTATGGCAGACTCATTGTTGCCTTTAGAGTGGATAACTACCAAGAGGGGGTGAGTTGGTATTTTCTACTTTGTGGCTTGACTTCTTTGTGTGGTTGCATTGGATTCATGGGGTTTTTATTGCTTTGTTCACACACCTATGGAGTTTGTGATAACATCTGAGTCTTTTTTATATGACTTTGATCTCTTTGGTCATATCTCAGACTCATTGTTACCTTTCATAATCACAAGGAAAAGGGATAGTTTAATATAAATATATTCTTTCTTTAGTTGAACAGAACAATACATTATAGTAATGTGTCTTCGCTTTTACAAAGGAGCTAAATTAAGATAACCAAGCGATATAACCATGGGAGACGTGCCAACTAAATTTTACTTCACCCAAATCATCCGGTTGTACTCGACTGACCAAGATGATCTACCTTACCTATAGGAGGTCGGATAGCCATATATCATAGTTGTTATACTAGTGAGGTTACATTAATCTCCATGGTTTACTTTCTGATGACATTCTATCATTACATGAAATTGACAAGTAATTTTGACGGAATCCGTGAAATAATGAGCAAAATCCAAGCAAACATGTGGAATAAATGAACAAATTTGCAAAAGAGTGAAGAAATTGAAATTATAAAAATTATGAATGAAATTCTGGCTGCAGATACTCAATGTCACGTTCAATGTTATGACACCGTATCTGACTTACTATATAACAGTAAATACAAAAACAATAAAGAACACAGTCAATTGTTTACCCAGTTCAGTGTGCAACAACACCTACTCTGGGGGCTACCAAGCCAGGGAGGAAATCCACTATAAGAGATGTTAATTCAGGAATAAACCAACCAGTTTATCTCCTTCACTTAAGACCTACCCAATGCAATTTCAATCTAAGTACAACTTAAACCTGAGTTCCTACTCACTCCCCCTCAATCACAGCAGTGATACATAAAACAATTTGACTAATGAATTGATGAAGACACTCTTCAAAAACATACACTTGATTAAGCTTCACAGCTTTTTAATCAAGCAACACAACCACTCTTGCTTCACAGCTTTGAGTGATGCACACAACTAACTTGACTCTGCTTCACAGCTTTAGTCAAGAAACATTCAAACACTCTTGCTTCAAAGCTTTGAGTGCTACACAACCCTTACAATTAAAAACCTATTCCAAGTCACTTATCACAATGATAATTGCTTGGAGTACAATAATTAAACCTATACAGTTTACAAATGATCTTCTGACCAAAAAGGGATTACTTGCAAAACAACAGCTCTGTTGAATATATAGTAGCTGCAACTTCAGTTAGGGTTTCCACAAAAACCTAGGGTTAATTCCGTTTGACCTTAAGACTAGGTCACAGGACTTTATTAACCAGGTTAGGTTGAACTAGGTTAACCCAAAGAAAACGCAGGATTCTGTTCTGGAAAGACTGAGTTATTTTCCTGAAAAAACTCAGAATTTAATCAACCTGCAAACCTGTTAGTTCAGAGCAGGATGTCTTAACATCTGTTATGACATCTGAGAAACCTGTCTACTGATTTAGGAAAATGTGATCATTTTGCAAAATGCTCAGATACACACTTATAAACATCAGTACCTGAATGACAATATTTTTCTGCAAAGGTACCTAATGAATCAGTACAAACTACACTAGAATGTTATGACATCAGTCATGACATTCACACATACACTTGGGTTTTACCAAAAATGCAAGCCAATACCTAAACAACTACAATGAAGAAAAAGGAAGAATAACGACACTTTTTCTCCTTCTTTTCACGTGCGTGTGATCCTTTCATCGTGGGCACGATAAAGCAGTTTCACGTGCGCGACAAGGACCAAAACAGGCGCGATGAAGTGATGATTTTGACACATTTTCGTCTTTAAATAGATAGTGTTGGCAACTTTTTTAGGGTTTTGATTTGGAGAAAGAAAGTGACGGCCAAAAGTTTTTTGGAGCACGGTTTTTAGAGCATTGAATTCATTGGAGAGCTTATTTTTCATAGATTTTGATGGAGAACACTTATCAACTCATGTTAATTATTAAATTCTCTATGAGTAGCTAAGATATTCTAGATTAGGTCTTTTGAGATGCAAAAATTGGGAAATACCCTTGTTGTGCCAAATTGGGAAATGCCTTTTGAAATGATGTGTGATGTAAGTGATTACACGGTAGGCGCAATTCTTGTTCAACGCCATGAGAAATTTTTTCATGTGATTTACTATGCTAGTAAAGTTTTGAACAAAAGTCAAGTGAATTATACCACCACTAAAAAAGAATACTGGAAATACTATTCACTATGAAAAAAGTTTTGGCATATCTAATTGATTCTAAAGTGGTTATTTTTACAGATCATGCATAGTTGAAATACCTTTTAATAAAGGATATTCTATGTTGAGGCTACTTCGATGGATATTATTGCTACAAAATTTTGACTTGGAAATAAGAGATAAAAAAGGTGTTGAAAATGTTGTGGAAAGTTACTTGTCATAGTTAGAGAATGAAAAAGTCACTAAGAAGGAAAAGAGTATCAATCAAGAGTTTCTGACTGAATACTTGATGGCAATTAGCGAACGACCTTGGTTTGCTGATATAGCCAATTATAAAGTCATAAAAAGTGTTCTGGAAGACTATACTTGGTAGCAGAAAAAACACTTACATAAATAGGCTAACCACTATTTGTGGGATGAGCCTTATCTCTTTAAAGTTAGTGCATATGGTTTAATCCTCAGGTGAGTTGTAGGTAATAAGCTAGAGACATTATGTGAAACTTCTATAGCTCAACTTATGAAGGCCTCCATAGTGGTCAAAGAACAACAACAAAGGTACTCCAAACTGGATTTTGGTGGCCAACATTATTCAAATATTGTAAGTCATATGTGCAAGAATGTATCGAGTGCCAAAAAATAGGTGACATTTCAAATATTATCCATCACCTTTGCTTTCATTTTAGTCCTGTTGCAAAACCTTGTAGATCATTTTCGCCCCAAATAGGTCACCGCTTATTATTTTTGACTCGTCGTGGTTATGGTACTTCAACTTGAGGTGTACCAGGGATATTACTACATCCAAGGTTGTTATGAAGGGTCGGCCTAGGATACAGTTGTAGACGCTCCGACATTGGACTATTAGGAATTTAGAATCGATATTTCTGGTGTCCATTTTTTCTCTCAAGGTGATCATCAACTCAATGTATCTCTAGGGACGAGTTACAATACCTTTGAAATCATGTAGGTCTGACCCTTCATAGGACCATAACTTATTTTTTAACCTCGTTTTTTCAAAGAGGTTCATGTACATGATGTCATAGAAGTTACCACCATCAATACATACCCGAGAGACATTGAAGTTGGATATTATGGCAGTTATCACCAAGGGAAAGATCTTGTTTTGGATCTATTTTATCTTGTCATTGATGCAAAACTCGGAGATTGGAATTTTCGACCCTTTGATTGAAGTGCTCTCGTCCTTCTTGTTGACAACCATCAACTCGACAATCTCCATATTAACCATCCCTTTGGATAGGTTTCTCACCCTTGGGGAACCACCAATGATGGAGGAAATCTATTAGCGTTTTCTCATGTGTCCTTCTTCTCCCTCAAAGTTGGTATCCTTGCCCTTGGCCACCGTAACAAATTTGACCATTTTCTCATGGGATTGTTTTTTCTTCAGGGAGTCATCCTGGCTTCTCTTGGTATCCCTAGTGTACTCAAATATCCATCCCTTCTTAATCAGTCCCTCAATTGCATCCTTCTGTTGGGTGCAATCGTTTGTGTTACAATTATGACTTTTTATGGAAATGGAAGTACTTTGATTTATGTGTATGGGAGGACTCTCTAAATGAATATGGATTCATGATCCCAACTTCGTTGAACTTTGCGTTCGCACATTATTTCCAAAATTTCTCCATTGAAGTGTTCAAGGGAGTATAATCATTGAATCTGGAGTGAGGTCAACGTTCATTTTCTTCTTTATGCTGACCATCATCTTTTTTTGATGGTTGGCTGGATCTGATGTTTCCACGTCCTCGATTGGTCCCCATAGCTAGGAGTTTCTCCTCATAGTTATTGTAGGTTTCCGCCCTACTCATCAAGTATTTAGATTAGGGGCCTCTTTGCACCCTAGTTTTTCTCTGAACATACCGTTCTACCTCAAACTCCTTTAAAAAATCCAACACTTCAAACTTTCATCTGATCCCCCAACGACCACTTTCACTTTGGTACAACATCAGTCAATGTATCCGTGCGGGGTTCTTGTTTTACCTTGCATGATCCCAATAAGCACGACCATGATCCTGGATTGTCTTTTTCGAGCGATGAAGTCGGTGGTTAAAGCTTCGAATAGACCGGTCTAAAAATATATACTTCCATCGAGAAAGGACTTAAACCAAACCATCATTGATCCAATTAGAGTTAATGTAAAGAACTTTACTTTACGGTTCCGTGAGCGTAATACTAATCCAGACGATCATCTACAATGTGCTCGTCCTATCTAAGTATAAAAGTTTGCATGTATCATTTAATCATTCATCTATCATCATAGACGGACACACAATTACATTTTATTTATTAATTTTCATCCCTCTTTATATGTCAGGCACACAGAATATATTGAATTCACTGGTTAGCATAACTTTTTATATATTAATCATGTAATATCAATTATCAATTAAACTTTTTGAGGCGAAAAAGGTAAATATTTTTTTTAAAGAAATTCTTAAATTTTTAGAATCTAATTTTTTTAAAGTAATTTTTATATATGGCTTATCAATTAAAGCACTTTCCATATGCATAAAATTAGATTAGATTATGCACATTTATATTCATGTATAAATATGTGTATGTATAGGCATTTGTGTATCTAAATATAAACAAAATGGAACCAGGAAATAGAGGTGCAAATGTATGTCTAGTGTGTCGACGTTTGAGAAGAAGATGTAGTGATGATTGTGAAATTGGCCAATACTTTCCATCAAATAGGAGTGATGATTTCCATAGTGCCGTAAGTCTTTTTGGATTAACTAACCTTAGGAGAATCATGGGATCAGTAGAAGAACATCAAAGACAAACTCTTGCAAACTCAATTCTCTTGGAAGGTAAAGCTTGGAGACTTTATCCAGGTAGAGGATTGTTGGGATATGAGTTGGAGTTGGATGCTCAAATTTCTTCTAATTTGAGTGAAGTAGAAACTGCTGAGAGGTTTTTGGCATATTTTAAGGATCAAACAAATCCAAATAATGAAAGAGGAGAATCAAGGTATATTCTTTTTTTCCTTTACTAGAGTCAATTATTCAAATATTTTATAGATGTTTTACTATTTTTTTAGTTTGTTTTAATTCATATTTCATTTTTTTTTTTGTACATATAGCAATGATGCATTCAAAAGAAATGAAGTTGTTGAAGAGAAAGAGTTAAAGAAAGATGAAAAGGGAAAACAAGCCATCATTGAATAAAATGAACCAGAGATAAGTGATGGATGAAGACTTTGCACCAAAGTAAAATGAAGAATTTGAAGAGCAGAATATGATATTCATAAGTTAACTATTGTATTTGACAACTTTTTTAGATTTATATTTGAAATAAAAATTTGTATTTTTTTTCCATATGTTTTTAATAACTTTTGTTTCGACATTGTGTAGTGCTTTATCATCAAATAAAAGATATTTATAAAAGTAGTTTGAGAATGAATAAAATTAAAATCATGTTAATATAATAATACTTGATTAAATATATTTTATATTTTAATTCAAGTGAATTTTTTTTAAATAAATATTATATAATTATTATTGATTAAAAATATATATATCGAATAGTCTTAGTTTTATAAATGAACTGTGAGTCTAAAAATATATAATAGAATTAAGTTCAATGTATATGTTTAATGAATTGTGAGTCTAAAAATATATAATAGAATTAAGTTTAATGTATATGTCAAAAATACTTTAAACATGTATTTGATTTTTTTTAATATTTTTTTCTTATACACATTTGTTATAGTAATTGTGAGATATAATTAAGTAATTTATTGGTGCAATGTGTTAGATAATTGAGGGTACTTTATATCTTACAATTCTTACATAGTTTTTAATGGCAAAATAAATATTATAGTAAAGAGTAAAAACTTCAAAGAAAAAAAAACTACTTAAGGAGTAGAAAAGCGTGTTTTCCCTTTTCATCTTTCTCTTAAAAATCCTTAAAACTACATTGCCTAGTGTTGGTTTTAAGTAGGTAACATAGAGTAGAAAATGAGGTTATTGGTTTTGTCCTTTAAATCTAACTTAAAAAAAGAAGACTAGCATCTATAAGAAGAGTTATTTGTTACCTATAACCACTTAAATTTTTTATCATAAAATTCTATTAATTAAATCACATGTGGCAAATAGATGGGAAATCAACTCAAATAAAATAACACATGAAGGATACGAGATATGAATGCAATTTCCTTTCTCTTAAATAATTTTTTTTGAAGGGAATTTATCAAGTAAAAGTTACTAAGAGAAAACAATCACTTTATATATGGTATAATTATCTCAAATAAAAAAAAAGGATTAGGTTAGTAGAAGCGAATGAGAGGTCAGGAAAATTAGAAATATCCAATAAAACATGATATATTAAGGATACAGAGAATGACCAGTCCTTTGAAAACTTCCAAATCCTTCCATCATTATTATCTAAGATAAAAATTTGAACTTTAAATAGAACAAGGAAGTTTGCAACAATTAAGTCCTTATGAACGAAGAACATGCTTCTCCACCTGAAATTCAAAATAATGATCTCATCTACCCACTGACCTATGTATTCAGACTCCCTCTCAGGATAACCAATGATTATAAAAAACCGAGGGAACCTATTCTTAAGAGAAATACTATCAACTCAAGGCTCTTCTCTAAAAGAAGTTTAAAACCCTTATTCCACTTTTTTGGAAATGTCATCCACAAACTAGTCAAAGAGATCTTTTTCTTTTAAATCAAGGAGAGAAAATCTTTTTCACCATGATGAAGCGTTTCGGAAGCCCAATACTCTACCCTCCAAAAAGAGGAAAAACAACTAGATCACAATATTTAGCAATTAAGATATCTAACTAAAGACTAGAGACTTCTGAGATGAGCGTCTACGTACTTAGCCAAAAGAGTTTGATAAACAAGTCAGAGACACATAACTCTTAAACCACCTTTTGTCTTATGTTTATAAACATATGTCCATTTTATCTAGGAGGTTTTGGTTTCTCCCTTCCCACCTCCCTAGAGAAACATTCTATGGATCTGGACAATTTTCCTCCAAACCTTTACTAGTAATTTCGAAAAAAGACAGGAAGAAGATATAGATAGCTTTAAGCACAAAATTAAGCAAAACAATCCGACCTCATAAGCTAACATACACGTGCTTCCAAGAATTAAGTCTTTTAGATATAAGGTTAACAAGTGGATACCGAGTTGCCTCTCGGCTAGGAATAGCCCTACATGCAGCCTCGAGTATTTAAATGTGAGAGATTCAAGCCACTCTTAAAAAAATTCACCCAAATTCTCGAAGCTAGAACAAAACCCCTAAGAATAGCCTTAGTGATCCAAATATTTTCAACTAATGGATCAACTAAGATAAAAGTATCATTCACATATTAAAGATGGGAAACCGCCAAAGTTGATAACGACCTGGATTTTTTCTCCTGTTTTAAAGTTTTCATATTATATCATTGTATTGTGATTGTTTTCTTTATTTTCTCTATGTCAATTTTTCTCAATAACATATATCAGAGCTTTTGATTTTATCAAAGAAACGACTAATTAATTTTGTAGTAAAATTTAAAAGAAATAAATTATATTATCCATTAATTTTATAAAGAAAAGTTTAAACTACATAATTTTATATATTAGTATTTTCAATTTATGAATCTAATAGAGCAATTGAAGGAAGGTTTCATTCTCTCATGATAGTACTCCCTCCGGTCCTTAATATGAGAAGAAAAAATTCATAAACACCAAGAAGCATAATAACTACTCTTATTTTTACATCTTTTTATCGAATATACCTTCTTATACTACCTTTTTACTTGTAATTTATTAAAAATTTAGAGTAATCATTAACCACAAGTACACATTATTTTTATGGATAGTAGTAGACATTAGTCACTTATGCACATTATCTCTCTATTCCACTGTCACAGTTTTTTTTCTTCTAAAGAACAACATAACCCACTGTCACAGTTTTTTTTTCTTCTAAAGAACAACATAACAATGCGGTAAATTTTTTTGGCTATGTAAGTTATTACTCCCTCTGGCTCCTAATATAAGAAGATTTTTGAAATACTTTTTAGTCCTAAATATAAGAAAAATCATAATTTTTAATGTCTCTTTGCTCTTTAAACATCATTTTTATCCATAATGATAATTTTTACTCTATTAAATTTTCAATGCAACAGTCTCTGAATACACGCTACGTGGATACACACTATATAGTTTTTCACCAAAGGTTTCTGAAAAAAGAAAAAAAAGATAGGATAGATGTTGTATGCTAGTAAGTGGTATTTTAACAAGGTTGTTCTATAAATACCCATCATAGAGCTTTTGAAATTTAAGTGTAAATAATGTTATAAAACGCTTAAACAACGTCATGGTCACCACCGTTCTTCACTGCACCGTGGTGACATCTCTAAACTAAAACACTTCTATAATATTTTTGTTTTTTAATTAAAAATTATTTGTATATAATAACGGTTGAGGTATCAATCATAGTGATACCATCAAACTTTCAATGGTTCGAACATCAGCACCCTCATATATATTATTTGTTTAATGTTAAGACGCACTTTTTCTTTATTATTATTTTAAATAAAAAACTTAAAGGGATATGAATACGGTTGGTATGTTCCACCGTTGTGATATATTTATAAAAAATAAATACGTATCAATACAATTGATAGAGGTAACCATTGTGAAACATTTTATCCATATATAAGTGAATTAACTCTCAGTTGTTGACAATAGCGTCGTTTCCTTCAAAGTGAAATCCAAACACCTATTTTTTCTCTCATTCTTCGCCATTAGCTGTGAATCTTGTGCTTCATACGTTAAGGTATTCTTCTTCTTTCATCTTTTCCATTATCTCGTTTGTTGCATGTTATTTTTATTGATTGTTCTTATTTTTTTCAGATTCGTCTTCACTACTTTGTCTATGGTACATATTGTTTGTGTAGCTATGGAAAAAAGTACAAGAAGCATGAAGCTATGATGGAAACTTCATCCATCTTGTACTTCTTCTTCATAACTTCACAAACAAGATTATTTTCATACCCTATTGACAAATAAGTTTGCAGTTTCACATGTTGATAACTTTTACAATTATTGTAGGACTCAACAAGAACAACATATTTTAGTAAATGAAGAAACATCAGCGAAAACAAACTTCATCTAGTTTGACATACAATGAAAAATATTTAAGTATGAATATGTTCTGTAAACTTATTCCTTCTTAAATTTCTTCCTCATTACTTCACAAACTAGATGAACTTCATATTGATTCCTATTCCACGGTTAGTTTCAATAAAAGGTGTGTCCTACCAATTTATAATATATCTTTTTCATTGCTCACAAATTTATAATATCTTGTTCTATTGTATGATGTTGTTTGAGTTTATTATATTCTATGTAGATTGTTTGTTTAAATTGACATAGATAATTATAATGTGCAAATTAAGTTATATTTGAAAACTAACTTATATCAATCATTGTTTCTGAATTGCATGTGTCTCATCATTCATTCCATGCTCTTTTACATATAGATTATGGTATAATGACCTGGCTCCTTAGAAACATCGTTATCTTCGATTATAGTTAAGTTTCATTAACTACAATTTATTTGATAATCTGTCTCTTCATCAACATTTATAATCATAAAAATTACGATTATAAAAATTACGATGATAAATGATGATGATGCGGCAGATTATCCAATATCTTGTTGTTATGGAAAATTAACTATAATCAAAGATAGTGATGTATCAAAGGAGTTAGACTAATAAACCACAATATATATGTAAAAGAGTATGAAATGAACGATGAAACACATGCAATCAGAAAAAACAATGGTTTGTTTAAGTTGGTTTTCAAGAATAGTTTAATTTTCAGATTATAAACTTTTTCATCAATTTGAAAGCTTGTATTTCTTTAGTGAGGTGTATGAAAAATAAGCAACCTATATATTATATAATACACTCTATATATTTTTCACAACGATTATCTACTATAACCATGATCAAAGGTCATTTATATTTTACATAATTTGTTGCTGACGGGTTTCAAATCCAGTACCAAAGTATATATATCACAACAGTTTATATGTTTAACCACTGTGATAAGTGGTACGTGTCCTGTCATTCAATAACTGTTTCCAGACTGTGATAGAAACAACAAACTTAAAACCATACTCTACTTAACAACGGTATGACCCGCGTAATGGT